ATGTCGTGTAACAAGTGGATTGGTGATAAGTTGAAATAGTTTTAAAATACATAAGGCTGACACCCCACTCCGTCCCATAGTTAGCCAGATTGACACACCAACCTACAAACTGGCTCAACACATGGCAAAGGTACTGTCACCATTAATGGGAACACTTCTACACATGTGAAGGATTCATACCATTTCATCAGTGGAATCAAAGATCTACGGTTAACTGATGATGACACCATGGTCAGTTTTGATGTTCAGTCGCTGTTTACCAACCTACCAGTAAAAGACTGCATTGAAATTGTACGTAGAAAGCTGAGGGAACATAATATGTCCATTGAATATGCAGAATTATTAGAACACTGCCTAACATCAGGCTATCTATTGTGGAATAATGAATTCTACCTACAAATTGACGGTATAGCGATGGGCTCCCCGGTATCTCCCGTTGTTGCCGATATTTTCATGGAAAACTTCGAGGAGCGAGTTTTACCCATGGCCCCGGCTAGGCCGAAGATTTTCAAACGGTACGTTGACGATACTTTCACAATATTACCTAAAGATAGCATACCTTCTTTCTTGGACCATCTTAATTCTTTTAGTACTAAGATCCAATTAACTATGGAACAAGAGAATTGTGGTACTTTAGCTTTCTTGGATGTTTTAATTCAAAGAAATCCTAATAACATCTTAGATCATACTGTATTTCGAAAGAAAACCCATACAGATAGGTATATAAATGGTAATTCCCATCACCATCCTAGCCAGTTGGCTACCGTGGGCAAATCTTTGTTTCAGAGAGCATATGGTGTCTGCGACAGTAATCATCTGGCAGGGGAACTTCAGCATATAAAGCAAGTCCTACATGCGAATAAGTTGAAGATTCCACGCCAATGCCGCAGGCCCCGTGTGAAACCACCAACAGTCGAGCGAAGACCTGCCATCTTACCTTACGTGAGAGGTGTTACAGACAAGATCGGAAGAGTCCTCAGGCGTGCATCTATCAAGACCTATTTCAAGCCCCTGAGGAAGATTTCTCAGTTCCTGAGACCCGTGAAATGTAACATCCCCTTACAGGATGCAGGAGTTTACAAGCTTGACTGTGAGTGCGGTCTCTCTTATATTGGACAAACAAAGCGAAGTATTTGTACCCGCGTCAAAGAACATATAGCTGATGTCAAACACCGTCGCGTAAACAAGTCTGCAGTCTGCGAGCATGTCATGGATAAACCTACACACTCAATGAAGTTTGACAAACCCCAGGTCCTTGCAAAAGAAGTCCGTTATCTGCCCAGGATGCTGCGAGAGGCCATTGAAATTAAAAAACATCCTAATTTCAACAGGGAAGATGGTTTCTCCGTACCACCAGTTTGGGATCCAGTATTTCCTCTAATGAAAAATCCCAAACAGACATAAGACTGCAGTACTAATTAATATGTTTTAGTTTATTCTAATTTCTATTAATAATTAATAATAAATTAAACTTAATAAAAATTCATTCAATAAAATAATTTGTAAAACTTAATGTAGCGTAAATTGGAATGTTTTCTTTGTAAAATTAAAAATAAAGTATTTAATTAATAACTACTGTAACTGTAGTGAAAAAAATAGGGTGGTTTGAATTAATATTAGACATAACTGGTTGAAGACTGTACCACCTCAGTCAACCGTGACCATGAGACCTGTAAAGGGCCCGAAACGTCGGTTTGTTTGAAAAAACAAATATACGCGATTTAAATCCGGAAAAATAGTTTCATTTCCTATTCGTAAAGAAATCAATGAAATTTCAAAGACCTCTTTTATCAATAAAATAAAACATGCTTAAAATTTGTTTTCACATAATTTTCACATGATTTCAGATGATGTAGTGAATACGGAGAGTGTTAGCATAGGAACCATTTTTTACCCAAGTTACCTAAGCCTAACATACCCAGGTCTGAGTTGAATGCTCTGGATGCACTACAGAGGGATTTTGTTGTACTGGTTCTGCCGGCGGACAAAGGTAATGTTGTTGTCACACAGTCATTGTTGACACGCGGAATTATGAAGAGAAAATGAATAACTTGTTGTGTGACAGTGGTACCTACAAAAAAGTTACCTATAACCCTACCAACAGAGTAACCCATGGGCTGAATAGGTTACTAAAATTTCTGCCGGATGACCTTTTACGCGACATCCTACGTCCGCTCAACCCCACACCACTAAAGATCTACGGGTTGCCTAAAATCCACAAACCGGCATGGCCCCTTCATCCTATAGTGAGTCAAATAGATTCGCCAACATATAAGACTGCTCGTTTCCTGTCGGACGTACTACTTCCTTTCACGGGTAAAACATCAAGTTATGTGAGAGATTCTACACATTTTGTGCAGTTGTTGGAAGGACTACGTGTTAGTGATAACGAGATATTGGGTTGTATCATTGTTTACAAATATACCGATAGAGGACGTACTTATGATTATATCTGATTTAGTAGAGTGTATTAATTTAAGTGTCGGTTATATGAAGTTGATACGGTACACTCTGACGAGGGGATACTTCATGTGGAGGGGTGATTACTTTTTACAAATCGGCGGCGTAGCAATGGGATCACCGGTAGCTCCGGTGGTGGCTAACATATTTATAGAATGGTTTGAGGATACTGCGCTGGTGAACATTCCATTCGAACCGAGATACTGGTGGCGCTATGTAGATGACGTATTTCTCATTATGCCTAAAGAGGGAGTAAAGTCGGCACACTTAAACAGCGTTCACCCGAAGATCACCTTCACCGTGGAATGTGAGCAGAACGGGGTTCTTCCTTTCTTGGATGTGTTGGTGAGACGTGAACATAACGGTCGGTTGTCTCATGCGGTGTATCGGAAACCAACGCACACAGATAGATACCTGAGAGCGGATTCACATCACCACCCGATACATTTAGCCTCAGTTCCGCGGACACTCATTAATAGAGCTTTGAAACTTTGCGACCCGGATTACATAGATGCTGAGCTAAATCATGTGAAGGATCTGTTGGTTGGTAACGGTTACAAGTGGAAGCAGAGTTGGCGTGTGGCAAATACTTCAACGAGGCCTCGACCAGCATCGGTAGAGAGAGCGGTAGCGTACTTACCTTATGTCAGGGGGGTGACGGATGTAATTGGAAACTTGTTACGCCGAAGGTACAGCATCAAGACAATATCATTCATTGCATTTTTGTCGCGCGATGTAATCGGTCGTGTTTAAATAAAATAATATTTTAAATACTTACATAATTGTGACCTAGCTCCACTTCATGCGGAAGCAAATTATCTGTGTCAGTACAGTACGTGTTCACGTTTAAGTAATTTATTGGAAGTAATAATGTTCAATGCTTCTTGTAAACATTAAAACAAAAAATGGAAGGCAGTCCCTTTAATCGGAGTGCACTAACGCGCCGCAGCCCGCCGCCAACGCCCTTGTCTCAACCCCCCGCGCCCGCAGAGTCCCTTCAGAACGAGGATCCTCCAGATGTGGTATCCACGCCTGAGATCCAGAACTGGATGAGTGCAATAGAACAATGCTTGAACGAGGTATGTGCTATTTCTACCGAAGGCAAGCTAAATTCAGACCAAAAACTAAGAATTAGCACTTTGTGCCGAAAAGTGGCAAATGGGACGTCTCAATTGGCAGTACAGTACCAGTCCCTAAAACAAAAAGCCGTTCAAGCATACTCATCCCTTAAAGCCCTTAAAGAAAATCAAGACCTGTCGCAGCGACTTCAAGACCTAAAGCAGCGTATTGAAGAATCAACAAACCCTCTCTCAAGTACAGTTTCTTTTGCAGACATGGTAAAAAAAAAGCTCCAATAATTTTGTTCAGCCTAATAAGATAAGCTCTGTAGCAATTTATCCTACTGACAAATTGAAATCGAGTGATGAAACAAAAAATCTGGTTGAAAAAATTATCCGACCTGAAGAAATGAAACTGCACGTAAGAGGGTTACGCAAAACTAAGAACGGCGGTGTTATTATAAGCACTGACACCAAAGACGACCTAGAAAAGCTGAAACAGGTGGCCCAATTAAAAACCTCCGGCCTTACTGTTGACGAGCCACATAAGCGCAAACCCAGAATTGTGATTATTGGTGTGCCTACATCTTTGCAGGAAACCGAAGTAGTGAACTGTATATTTCAACAAAATTTAGCCGACAAGCTGCAGGGTATGTCTCTTGAGTCATTTTTAAATAATATTAAATTAAGCCATAAGTCTGGAAAGAAAAACACCGAGTCCTGCAATTACATATTTGAAGTCGCTCCACATATACGTAAGGCCCTAATAACCAACGATAGAGTCTTTATCAACTGGTCGTCGTGTCCTGTAAGAGATTTTACTCTAGTTACTAGGTGCTTTAAATGTCAGCAATATGGTCATGCTGCCAAGACCTGCCGGGAGGAGGCCACCATCTGCGGCCACTGTTGTGAAACCGGTCACACAATAAAGGACTGCACTAAGAAGACCGAACCTCCTAAATGTGCTACATGCTTGCATTTCAAGAAGACCTGCGACCACCAAACAGGAGATTTTAATTGTCCCGCGAGAAAAATGGCCGAAAAAAGGTACATTAATTCAATAGATTATGAAGGCGCCTAAGAGCGTCACTCACTAATTTTACTTAATAGATCTTAATTTAATTAAACACTATGAGTGATAGTCTAGTTCGCGATCTAGATAATTTCTCTGTATCAGAGTCAAAGTCTTGTGAAGTTGAAATGTGCAGACAATATTTATTACCCTTTAACAATCCTCTCTCTATACTAACACAAAACATACGCAGCATTTACAAAAATTTTGACGCTTTTAGTACTTTTCAGCATAGAATGAACATTGGCTGAGATGTCATAATTCTGACAGAGTGCTGGTTAGATAAATGTAGAAATCTATCTCCCATGCCAGGCTATAGCTTATACAGCTCTAAAGAAAATTACAACCAGAACGACGATATAGTGGTATATACTAGGAATAATTTAAATATCTCGGTTCAAGAACCAAGTATGTTGGACTGCAATCGGCTCCTAATCAAAATTGGAACAGACATTGCAATATTAGCATTTTGCAGACCCCCCTCTTTTAGAAATACCAAAATGTTTACTGACTCACTTAACGATACGTTACAACTTTTATCAACTTTTAAAAATGTAGTATTAATAGGAGACATAAACATTCTCCCACATAGCATCGATTCCTGTGCGCAAGAATACCTAAACCTATGCTCTTTTCATGGATTACTACCCGCCCACACTCTCCCTCCACATCAAAGCGGCTCTTGCTTAGACCATATTATGCTTAAATCTATTTTTAAATCAATAACATTAGTTACTAACTCTACAATAACCGATCATAAAGCTGCCCTACTAACCTTAAATTGTAAATTGCTTAATTCAACTCGCACGCAAATAATTTCTAAAATTAATATAAATAAACTTGAAGAAGATTTATGCAACATTGACTTTAACACAGTTTATAATTCTGATGACGCGGATTATTGTATGTCTTACTTAGTAAATAATGTACAGCAATCAATATTAAGTAATAGCAAGGTCATGCGATTAAATAGTAAAAATTACAATATCAAACCTTGGATTACACCAGGACTTATTCGCTGTATGCGTCATAGGGATAAACTACATATGAAGGCAAAAAGTAATCCAGCTAATTTAATTCTACAAATATCATACAAAAGATATAGGAACTTTTGTAACGATCTACTTAAAAAAGTTAAAAGCTGTTATGATAAAAAAGAATTGGAAAAAGCTGGTACAGACAGCAAAAAGGGTTGGAAATATATAAAAAGGTAACCTACATATCGAAACAGCATAAATCATCTACAGGATTATTAAAAAGCCACTCATCTGATCGTATTGCTGTTAACAAAGCAAATGAATTTTTCGTTAATGCAGGTAAAAATCTGGCACAAAAAATCCAGAGTTTTCCGCTTACTCAACCACGTTGCTCTCAATCAATCTGTAGTAAGTCTCTGGGATCATTTGTATTATTAGATACGGATGAAAGTGAGGTTGAAAGAATAATTGTAAGCTTAAAAAACGATAGTGCTACTGGTTGTGATAACATATCTAACAAAATACTAAAACAATTCAGGCACATTCTACTTTCACCGCTGACGGTCATTTTGCAAAAATGTTTAACAAAAGGAATATTCCCCACGTGTTTAAAAAAAGCTGTTGTGGTCCCGGTACATAAATCTGGTAACCAAGAACAAATAACTAATTATAGACCTATTTCGTTACTGCCAGCAATATCTAAAATATTAGAAAAACTTATTAACAATAGACTTGTCTTGTATTTGGAGAGACATTCCATATTATCTAAAACACAGT